CACTCACCTAAAAGCCCCATGTAGGGAAGGACCCACCCAAGGAGGGACCCACCCAAGCATCCCAGTGCTCAGTACACTATCTGGGCCATCACAGGCGCCCTGATTATGTGGGGGGGGGCACCCTAATAGATGGTAGTCCCACTTCCTTTCATCCAGTCCCTTCCCACTGTGAGCTGGACAACTGGGGGTCCTAACCTGAGGTGTCAGCTGGATGACTGACCTTTCAGGAACCTTCTCCTAGCACAGCCTCAGGACAGGGTCCAGCATTCAGTGAGGGGAGAGAGAGAGAGAGAGAGAACGCAAATCAAAGAGGTGATCAGGCCTACCAGAGAAGCGGTCCATCCAGGCAGGCTGGTCTGAGCAGAGGAACCCCATGGATGGATATGGGAACCATGCACGTCTTTAATTGTAGAAGTAGTGAGTACCCATTGAGCTACTTCCTGCATAGGCATTGATCCTAATGCTATCAGAGAGCCACGCTTTGTACTCAACACAACTTTATGAAGCAGGACTAGGGTGTGACACTAAAGCTGCACAAGTTGGCTAAGGCCACATCACAGGTCAGTGATGATACAAATGTGGGCAGTGTGACTGCTGTGTGCTTCTAACTACTATGCAGTATTGGCGCCCAAGGTGGGAATTTGAAGTAGCATGCAGGATGCAGCCCTGGATGCATTCTCAGGCTGACTGTAAGAGCTAGACTTGGTATAATACAGAAGCTGTGGGCTTAGGAGCTTAAAGATACAGCTGTGGGCCAACACCCAGCCGGGGTCTCTAGTGGGCCTTCTCAGCCTTGGCTGTACTCTCAAGTCACCTTGCGGAGCTTAATGCCTACAGAGTATGTCATTGGTCTGAAGGGTGACCTGGGCCTCCGGGTATTCACAAGCTCCCTGATGACTCCACAGGCACACTCAAGGTTGGGAACCACTAGGAACTGAAATACAGAAGGAAGCTGCTCTTTCGTACCTACCAGAGCTCAGAGCTGGAGTCTTGTTCCTACTCCCTAATCAAGGCTGGAAGTTCAGGTTCACACACACTGAAGGAGAGGCCAGGATGGGCCAGGCCAGAGCAAACGTGTACCAGCTGAGACTACCCAGGACCCCCTGGCAATTTTGTTTGACTGTGCTTTGCTCTTTTCAACTTGCCTGCCAATAATTCTGACAGGAATGCCTAGGAATGAAGTGAAGGTCCAGTCGCACCCCATGTTCCCAGTTTTATTCGCCATAAAACCTAAAACAGTCACCTAATTAGAAAACACATGTTTGGTTACAACAGATTTCTCCCACTAAGACTACTCAGCAGAAAGAAAAGTAATTCCCCAGGATGTTAAGAGCTTTCTGAAATTAGTTCCAGACGTTTTTGCCTTCGATCTATAGGATCCTGGCCCTAGTTTTAATTTACTTTAAAATATATACATATATTGAGATTCTAAGGAATCTGGGAGTCATTAAGATTAGAGCAGGTTGACCCGGTCACCCTGATCTTGGCCTGAGACCTTGGGGGTCACAGGGATATCCCAGAGGGCAGTGACACCTCTATGAAGGAATGGCGTTTTCCTATTGACAGATTACCAGTTTCACAAAATTTAACTCCCAAACTAGAAATCCAACCCTCCCTGCCATTAGCATACTTTTGGGGGAAAGGAGTCTCTTTTCCTAGCTAATTGAAGAAAAAAGAAATTACAGCATCCTATGGGTTGGGCCAAAGTGGGCAGACGTCAAAATAACCAGACGGGGGGCTGTCCAACCCACAGGGCCTGTTCCAGCAGCATGGCAGGGGATGGGGTCAGAAAGAAGCAGCCCACAAGCTGAGCACAGCGGCAGAGGTTTGGATTTGCTTCTTAAAGTTGAATTAATTGCCCAAATATAAAAAACAGGAGAATTCTACAAAAAATCTAGATTCCAGCTTTTCTTAGAAACAATGGAAGCTCAGGTCACCAAACCACCCCACAGCAGCCATCTGCCAAGCAAGCGCCTCCAACCCCGTCAAAGCCCAGGCACCGTGGCCCTTCCCCATCACACCCCTGCCCCTGGGCCCACCGACTCGGGGCCACAGTGCTCACCAGGCTCCGTGGGCCTGGGGTTTGCATCACCATCTGAGCTCTATGCCCTTGGCTCTCTGCCTGGCCCCAGACTCGTTTTGCATTTTGACTCCCAGGGACCCCTCCTCTCCTGCTTCTCCTGCCAACCTTCCCATACTACAGACCAGTCACCTCCACTTGCCTCAGCTGCCTGGACCTACAAAGCTTCTTTGTACCCTCAGCCTGGGCCGCACCGACTTGTAGGATGTGTGTGGTGCTGCCTTTTCTTTCTTTCTTATTTATTTATTGGTACTGGGGATTGAACTCAGGGCCACTCGATCACTGAGCCACATCCCCAGCCCTATTTTGCATTTTATTTAGAGACAGGGTCTTACCGAGTTGCTTAATGCCATGCTTTTACTGAGTCTGGCTTTGAATTCAGCCTCCCGAGCCACAGGGATGACAGGGGGTGTGGTGTTTTCTTGGTCATGATCCACAAGGCATTCTGCCCTAGTGGCACCATTAACCACCTGCCATTAACTCCAGACCCCAACCTCCAGCACACGAACCTGAAGTCCAGGCCAGAGGGCAGAAGGCTCAGTAGATAAAAGTTAACTGGCATTCTGTGTGGCAGGAGCAGGGATGCCCTTGGTCAAGGGCATTGTGGTTGGCCCTATGCAAGCCTCCCTGCTGGCCTGGCTGGCCGTGCAGAGAGGTGGGTTTGCCCAGGCAGGGAGACCACCAAAGCCAGCCCAGAAGGAGAACACTCAAGGAAGGAGACGGCATATTCCAGGGTGAAGGAACCCTTAGAGGACACTGGTGTCCCTCTCCTGCTCTCTTTAGCCCCATGTCCTCTGGCCCTGCTTTTAGCAGGAGTGAAGAGAGCCGTGTACACCACTATCTTTGTATACCTTCCAAATAGACTTCTGAGTCTGGCCAGGTCCTCAAGAGTGACCTGTTGGCCCCAGGGCAGTCTCTGGGCTCCTGTTCCTCATCTGAGAAGACAGTGCCAGCTGGGGTCAAAGGGGTAAAAAATTGGACTGGGAAGCCCCCACTCCCAACTATAGTAAGAAGGGTAGTCGCCCTTTGTGTGGGCCTAATGCCAGAGAGTCCACAGGTGCCCAGAGAGCTGAATGCCGAGGCCAAGGGAGAGGAAAAGGTTAAAATTCTTCATAGCTGGCCCCACCATGAGCAAGGGCTGCAGAATTCCTGACTTCCTGTCCCCTGCCAACAGCTGCCCCAGCCCTGTGCTCACCTGGATGAACTAGCCCTCACAGGCCAGAGCAGCCAGCAACATGATCTCTGCCAGACGCAGAGGGGGACCCACGAGGTCTTTGTAAGGGTTTCTCCCAAATGAGCTGAGCAGGGGTCCCACAGCATCCCCCCTCTCCTGGCCCACAGATCTTCTCCAAGTCACCCCAGGAACCCCTGCTCCTACATTCTCTGGTTCTGAGAGGACCCGTTTCATATGGCCTAGATTGTTCCTTCGGCCTCCTGCAGGTTGCGGTCACACCATAGTCAAGTGATAAGCACAGCCCCGCCTGTCCTGCCTGACAGGAGGATCCTACCCTTTCCTGTGCCTCCTTCTTATCACTGTCATGGGTTCTGGAATTTTATGACAGACTCGGGTTTTTATTCTCTCCAAACTCTGAGCCTCTCTCTGAGCCCAACTCCACCATCTCCTGCCTACTGACCTTACACATGAACTTGCCCCTAAGCCTCAATTTTCTCTTCTGTAAAATAAACCTCGATGAAATGACACTGGTGAAACTTGCCCCGGGCCTGCCCCACAGGATGTGGTCCGCAAGGCTGAGCACAGTGGCTCAGTAGGAGCCTTTCTCATAAATGGCATCCTTGGTTCCGCTCCTGACCCTCTCCCAGGCTAGGCTTTTTCTCTCTGGCCCCACCTCACATCCACATCTGGCTGCCCCAGAGCGAGGTGGCTCTGAGGGGAGATCTGAGAACATCGGCCAGGGCAGCCCAGCTGGCAGCCAGTGGGCGGCTTACACTTGCTCACGGATCTGTCCACCATGAAAGTGCCAGCAGCCACGTCTCCTGGTGGAAGCGGACACCTCAAGGGTGGACAGTTGGAGGCATTTGTTGTCACTTAGCTGTGCAGTGACCAGCCTCCCAGACCCACTTCCTGTCTGGTGGCACATCACCTTGGTGTCTTCCAGGGAGCCCAGACTTCTCGTGTCCACTGGGAGGCCTTCCCATTACCAGGACAGGGGTCCCAACCCTTGGGACTCATGTCCTGGACCTCACAGGGCCAGCTCAGCCATGCCCACTCCATCAGGGCTGCTCCGTCGGCTTCTCTGCAACTGCACGCGCACCCGCCCCCACAGTGCTTCCTCCCTTCCCTAATTACCACCCCAACCTGGTCTCCTGGGTCTGTGGCTGTGGACTTGACCTCTGTCCTGGCAGCTGGGAACTTTGATCCTGCAACAATCCCTCCCTGGTGTGACCATCACCTCTGAAACCTGGAAGGAACCCAATCCCCCCACCTTCAGGCCAAGTCCCTTTGAGAAGCCTCAGCACCATGGGGGGTAAAGTGGGACTGGGCTGAGTCCAAGGGGTTGTGAGTGAGGTGTCCACAGGAGCACGAAGCACTGTCCTGGGGCCGCAGACCCCAGGACAAAAGAAACAGGGTTCCATAGATCTGTGGCCAACGCAAATCACCATCATTAACATGAGCCACTGCCACAGTCTCTGGGCTGGGACGCAGTTGGAGCCAGGCAGAAACCGCAGAGCACACACTCCAATAAAATGGCAATAAACGGTGCTGCGGCTATGGAACTTGTTTCAATGTTGTTCCAAAACCTTGTTGAAGTGCTTTTATTGTTTCTGTGTGAAAGAACACGAATGCGTTTTGAAAACTGCTTCGGCATCAGCCTCATCTCTGGGAAGTCTTTCTGATGATCTCTTCCAGTCCCCACCCTGAGCAGGTCCTGGCCACAGTGGTGCCCATCCCCCCCCCCATGGCCTCCATGGTGCCACAATGCCCACACCTCCTCCACCCACCAGGAGGTCCCTGGGCTCCTCCCTCCCAGGGACCAACCGGCCCCTAGAACAATGCTGGGTATACAACAGGCACCAGGCGACCACCCCAGCAGAATGATCGTCAGGGTGATGGCAGAGGCAGCTTATCAACATCCAAGGAGTCACGCAGGTTGCTAAGGGGATCCTTGTAGGACAGATAAAATTCTTATGAGAAAAAACAGTGTTGGTTTCTCAAAAAAAAAAAAAAAAAAAAAACTATCAATAAATAAAAGTCATAAAGACAGGAAGTCAACAGAATCCTTCTTCCCGGGTGGGGAGTGAAGGCCCGCTCTCTTGGGTTCTGTTCCAATTAGAACAGTCCAACAGCAAAGATAAGAAAACCCAAACTAAAGTAGGGCCCAGAGTTGGGACTGGGCTGAAGCCCTGGGGAGCCCAGCAATCCTGTCCTCCAGAAAGGCTGCCTGCAAAGGGATGCGCCCCTGAATAAGTCCCTGTGAGAAGTCTTGGGGTGCTGCTGGCCAGCGCCTGGCACATGGGGAGGGCTTTAGCTGGGAGCCCACAGCACCTGGCCCCGGCACAGAAGGATGTGTGGAGCAGCCTGTAGCTCTCCCACCACGTCCTCCATGTCTGTTCTGGTAATCTGGTATGAGGGGGAGGATCAGCTGGGCCCCCGTGAGAGGCAGCTCCCCTTCACCTGCAGCTGAACCTGCCAACAGCAGGCCAGGGTGGCCCCTCAGCATTGCAGCGACTGAGCGACCATGCAAACTCCAGTTCTATGGAAAGTAAGGAAGAGCTCTCAGGGTTCTGAGGCATGTGCTGCCGGTGATTTACTAAGTCCCCTTGCACCCCTAAATTTAATCCTTAAAAACCCTTTCCTCCCCAAGAGCCTCATTCTGACTCACCCACTGGCCCTCAGCGCTGAAGAGAGGGAGGCCCACTGTTCTAGTCAGCTTTTTTGCTGCTGTGACTAAAGGACCCAACCAGCACAGCTGTAGAGGAGGAAAAGTTTATGGGGACTCACAGTTTCAGAGATCTCAGTCCACAGACAACCGGCTCCATTCCTAAGGTGAGGCCCGACATCATGGCGGAGAGTGTGGTGGAGGGAAGTGGCTCACGTGATAATCAGGAAGCAGAGAGAGAGCTCTCCACTCACCAGATACAAATATGTACTCCAAACCACGCCCCCAGTTCCCACTCCCCCAGCCACCTGCCCTCAGCTACCACTCAGTCAATCCCATCAGGGGATTAATGCGCTGACTGAGTTAAGGCTCTCCTAACCCAACTTTTCTTCTCTGAACCTTCTTGCATTGTCTCACACCTAATGTCTAAACCATCAGCCCATGCTTGTGGGGAGCTCGCCGTAGCCATCTCTCTGGGGCCCGTCCTCACTTAGTTTTCCCAGTGTCAAGGCCACACTGAGCAAGAAGATCCTTTCACTGAAAGCCACCAGCTGCGGAAAAAGGTCTCAGGTGGAAGAGGTGGGCGGTGGTTACCAGGAAGGGTCCGAGGCAGCCCTGGGGATAGGCCTGGGTTCAGCCCCGGCCCTCAGCCCTCGCATTGCCACCTCGGCTCTGAGCCACCATTTCCTCCCGTGCCATGTGAGAAGACCCCAGATGCCTCGGCCCAGCCCTTGGCCCAGGGTGTCATTAGCCCTGCACAGGCCCAGAGGTTAACGCAGAGCCACCGAGGGCAAGGAGGCCACCACACATGTCCTCAGAAGCTGGATTAGGAAGAGCAAGCAGGTTGGGGCAAGCAGCCCTCACAGGCATGGTTATGAGAGGCCCTTGCTGGCCATGGCCTGCCATTGGCTCCTCTCATGGGACATGTTCAAGGGGGACCTCACACTTGAGGGCACGAAGTTAACACCAAGAGTCAGAAGGATGCTGAAACAAGGACACAGCGCCAAGCCCAGGACCATGGCTCTTCCCTCCTAGCTGCCAGTGCAGAGTCTGGCCCCAGGCAGGTCCCCCTGCAGTGCCTGCTTCCTGAGGGGGCCCTGTTGGTGACAGCCAAGGCCCAGGCAGACCAGAGCCGTAGGACATGACTGCCCTGCTTCCTCATCTGCAGGAACCAGGCTCAGGCCTGCCAGCATAACGTGGGCAGAGAGGGTGTGCTGGGTGATGCAGGGGGTTCCCAGCCAGCCCTCCCTGGCCACCCCTACAGGGGTCCAGTTATAGGGCTGGGCCTGCTTCTGGAGGCTCAGTGGTAGCCCGGCCACATCCTGTAGGATTCACCCAATAGTACCTTCCACCTTCCTCCAACAGGACAGGGCCCTTCTTGAGGCATCTCCCCCTAGGGGTCCCCCTGAAGTGGGGGGCTCAGTTCTCTGGCACAGCTATCTCCTGCTTGGGCTTGGATAACATCTGCTTCATGGACTCCCAGGGTCAGAAACAGCCCTTTAAGAAACGAATTTGATTATGTGTCTCAAAGTAGAAGAGACAAACAGTGCCTCTGAACAAACCCTCCCTAACAGGGGACCCTCGCTCTGACCCTTGTGTGACTTCTCCCCAGTTTACAGATGAGCAAGCAACCTTGATGAGGCCCCGTCACTGGCCCTGCCAGACCCACCCGCCTCTGCTCTTCAGTTTCCAATGCTGCCTGCCAATCATGAGCTCAAACCTTCAGGAGTTCAGTATAAAAGAGAAAAACAATGAATGACTCCCTAGACCTTTTTTTTTTTAACCTAAAAACTTATCCTTAACTAGGGTTGGGTATATTTTAAAGCTTAGCTGATTTAATGGATTTATTTTTTTAGAAAAGAACCAAATGAGAGTTTCTATGTGAGCAAATGTGAGGGCAAGTCACTTCACCTCTCTGGGCTGTGGTTCCAGATCCAGGGGATGGGGGGTTGGGCCCACATAGGCTCCTCACTTCTGCCACTCTCGCTTGCTGACTGGTCTCCCATCAGGCGCCCCTGGGAGCACGGGTCCAACCACATCTCTTTCAATGAAGCATGAACAGTGCCACCACCTAGAGCTGCCAGACTAGTAAACAAGAATAAAAGAACATCCAGTTAAATTCGGATTTCAGATAAAAAATGAATGATGTTTTTGTAGCATAAATATGTTCGGTACAATATTTGGGACGTACTTATACGTTTCTCTAGTTTCTTAGCTGGGGCTGCCATCACAAAGCAGCCACTGACTGGTGCCTCAATCAACAGATCTTTATTTCTGGGTATTCAGTTCTGGAAGACAGAAGTCCAAGGTCAAGGTGTTGGCAGATTCAGTTCCTGGTAAGGGTTTGCTTCCTTGGTGGCAGATGGCCACCAATGTGTGCTCACATGGCCTTTCTTCAGCGCTTTCCCAGAGAAGAGAGAGACAGAGGCAGACAGAGACAGAAAGGCAGAGAGAAAACCAGGAAGCTTGTGTCTCTTCCTGGGTTTCTAAGGGCATCCACCCCGTCATGGAAGCCTCACCCTCACATCTCACCTAACCTCACCTCCTTCCCAAAGGTCTCACCTCCAATGCCATCACAATGGTGTGAGGGCTTCAACATAGAAATCTGGGGGAGAAAGAAGTTTCAAAGGGCATCCTACATTTTATTTGGCAAGTCCATACCACCCAACAGTATGCAAAGTCCCTTGGGCTGGACGAATCGAGGTACCCTGTGAACAGAGTATTAAGAAATAGAAAATCACACCACCCAAGTTCGCCTCCTGCTGCCTTGGTCTAAAATGGACCCCACTCCTCTCATGAGTCCTTTGTCTTCCTTGGGATTTCATACAGTGACCCAAGAAGCATGCTCGGTAACTTCTTAGACATGAAACACTGACGACACCGTCTGCTCTGGTATCCTGGTTATTATTATTTTCTTAATCCTGGTTCTTGTGGTTTCATCGTCTCTCTCTAGTGCAATGAAGCAGAAGCATAGCACTGGACCAGCATTGAGAGTCTGTGGTCTAATACTGCCTCTGGCCCTTACTTGCTGTGCAGCTTGGGCAAATCACTTCGCCTCTCTGGGCTATGGTTACTCATTCACACAATGGTAGTGCTGAACTGCTGTAACTGCCAAGTCTCTTCTGCTCTTTTCTTTTGTCCTGTCTCATGACTAATCACCAGTGCCAGCCGGGAGCATGGGTTCAACTCTTCTCTCTTCTGCTGGCCACACAAACGCACCTTACTTCCAGCAATCATTAAAATCTGGTACCCGACGCCATTTAGGCTTCTGGCCATCACTCCTGGGCAAAGGTGAGGTTTTTTTGTTTCTGTTCCCTTTCCAGCTTGGGCTTAGCTTTCCTCACTTACATCCTAAGCTGTGAAAATGGACAGAGCGGGCGACAGGGAATAGAAGAAGAACTGAAAAAAAAAAAAAATCCCGCTACAATAAATTGTATCGCGGTGGAGATCTCTTTCCAACCAGAAAATTCGGAGGCCAGACAATGGCTCATCTGTTTCAAAGCATATTCATAGCAACAGAATTCCAGGTCAACGAAAGGGATTCTCCTTGACTGCAAAGGGATTTAACCCACACCTAGAAAAAAGAGCTCCTCCGTGGTGGATTCTGGGTGTGAGGGAGACCTGTCAACACACCTAGGGTGGTTGGCTGGAGTTGCTGCTACTTCCCTTGGGGCTTGTCCCACCTAATGACAGCATGAGACAGAAGGGTCTGGGGCCCTGCCTGGGAGGACAGTTGGGTAAATATTTGGGCAGCTCTGGCTACTGCTGGAATGGTGAGCAGGAGCCGGGACCAGAGGAAATGGCCCCCGTCTCCCAGGCCCTCCGATGATACATTTTTATAAACATCCAGGCAGGCAGCCGCGAAAAGCTCCTGGGCTTTACAAACACATTTCATATTCCACGGTCAGCGGAGAGCACGCTCTGAGCATGGGCGGTGAAGAGGGGGCAGGAAGCAGGAGGGGTCTGGAACCAGCTTTCTAAATTTAACACGCAGTTGCTTTTAGGCCAAGTGGATAAAAAATAAATTCCAGTGCTTAACACTCTTATCTTTGTTTACCGTTTCCCCAAACAGTGAGTGGCCGGCACTGTGACTCTGAGGCTGAATTATCAACGAGATTCACGCAGGAAGGAGGGATGGACGTGCCTGGGAGGGTGGGGGTAGATAGAGCTACTTGACCACTCTCTGCCTTCCCATGACCTTTATTCAGCCTGACAGAGTGGCCAGGATCTGCTAAAGTCACAAGGCTGTCCCTGGGTGGACGAGGTATGGCTGTGATGTTTCAGAACAACCCAGAAATAGAAGGCACCATGAGGTCACCCATGTCAAGTGACTATTGATGAGGGGCCTATTAAGATCCTTCAGTGACCTTTTTAGGTGCTCTGTCACTGGTCTTGAAAATCCCCAGTGAGCAGAGGCCCACCTCTTCCGTGGCTAAGTTGTGGTCACTGGAAAATCCTTGCCTGAGTTGTCAGGGTCTTTCTCTGGGCCTTACACCATTGGCCTGGTTGCCCTCTCGGAGCTGCGTGGACTTTCCTGTCACATACTGCCCCACAGACATGCAAGGATGCCCTTGTCTCCCCAGGGGTTCCCTGGTCCTTCCAGGGCACCTGGGAGAGTGGCCTATCATGGTCACCTTGCTCCCTGGTGCTCAGTCCCCTCTCTGCCTGCTCATCCCTTGACCTCACTGGTACCCACTCTGTCCTCCCCCTCCCCCAGTGGACAACACACTGGCTTCTCCTCATCCCCAACCCCCAGCCCCATCCAAGAGGCAATATGAAGCGTCCTCCGAGGTCCCCCACTGTCCAGCCATTAGGTTTTCCTGGGCAGCACTGAAGGTTCAGTTCCATGCTTTTCTTTCTCAGCCTCGTCCCCAAGGACTCATCCACCTCTGTGTGGCTGAGCTGGACACTGTCACTTTTCCACTTTTGGCATGAGCTGCTGTCCACCCAGAGCCTCCAGCATGACCCTGCCACCACCAAGCTCCTCCTGCACCTCGACAGGCCCTGTTTCCGTCTTCCTTTCAGCCAGCCAGGAAGGCGGCCTGGAAATGGCTCTTATCTCCCTTCATTTGCTGACCCCTCTCCCGGGTGAGTCTTCGTTTATAGCAACGATTGTGGTATCCAGGCCACATGTGGTAGTCCCCTGGGGAGCTTGGACAGGGATACCAAGTCCTAAGCCCCATCCAGACCAATTAAATCAGAGTGTTTGACCGCGGAGCCCAGCAACGACAGGGACAGCTGGGACGTGTGGCTAACAGGTAGCTGGAGGCTGGACGGTGGCGGTGGCCTGCTCTCACTGACCCGCTTCCCTGCTCTCTCCTCACCACTCCAACAGGACCTTGTCGGAGCACAGGTAGCATTTCCAATGTGTCACCTCTCCTCATCGAAGGCCTCAGCGGCCCCACCATAATAACATATCACTGAATGAACAATTAAAGGGTCTCCTAAACACACAGCCAGTTTTTCTTGCTCTGGGGTCACAGCTATCTACCCCTCCCTGCCCCCAGCCCAGGGGGGGAGCAAAGCCTTCCTGTGCAGTGAGGGAAGAAGCTCATTTTCTCTTCATATTAAGTGCAGTCCACTCTTTCTCCCCAAAGCAGAGAAAGCAGCCGGGGTGATTTAACTGTCATTTACTTAGGAACTTATTTCTCTAAGCATCAAAAACAATCAACTGTGAATGATCCTAAATATTGCAAAACAACAGATAATTCAAAGACTCAAATCTACTTGGTGTTGGAATGCATTTTTGCTGATGAGTGCTTGCATCTGATAATTGGGACAATTCTTTCAAATTAGGTAATTAGATGTATCTTATTTGTTCCTACCCCCCAACACACACACACACACACACACACACACACACACACACTTTCTATAGGAATAAATAACTCAGCTCCCAAAATAGTGCCCTATTTCTTTCTCTCAACTCTTTCCTGGAATAGAGATAATGGTGACTTCAGAGCACTGGAGGGGGCTGGGAGAGGAAAGGAGAAGGAACCCACAGAGTAAACAGAGGAACTAGATGTCAACAAGCTGTTTTAGAAGTCACCCTTAAAATTCAGACAGCATGAACGACCAGTTTGTAAAACTGCTCGAAATAGCTACTCAAACTGGAAATACACATCTCATAGGACCCAGCAATTCCACTCCTGGGTATATACCTAAAAGAAACTTGTGCACATGTTCACCAAAAACCGTATTCAAGAATATTCACATCTGCTTTATTCAAAATGGTCCCCAAACTGGGAGCATCTCAAATGTCCACTGACAGTTGAAAGGATGAATACACGGTTACATGGTGGCAGCGCACAGCAGAGCACCACACAAGAATGAACACACAACAACTATAGCTCCACACCACCACAGCTACCTACCACATGGAAGAATCTCACTAAGAAAACAGGCAGATGGGAAAAGCCTGCCCGCTGGATATTCCACTGATAGAAAGCTCAGGCAAAAATGCAAAAGTCTTCTGTGTGTTAGAAATCAGCTTACTCGTGAAGGGGTCTTGGGGGGACTCAATGTTCTGGAATGTTCTGTCTTGGTCCAGACAGTGCTACACAGGTGTGTTTATACCTTGTGAAAACTCTACACTCCTGTTTGTGCTGTTTTTCTACACGTATGTTATTCTTCCACAAAATGCACAAAAGGAAAGGAAAGAAGATAGAGAGGGAGGAGGGAAGAAAGGTAGGCCCAGGAGCAGGGCAGAGTGGGAAAGGCTTGGAACTTGAACACCTGGATTCAGTTTCACTCTGCCTTGGCTAAGCCATTCACTGTGTGAATCTCTGACTTTTTTCATTTATAAAATAGACAAGTCTCCTTACCTACCTCACAGTGCAGTTGTGAGGACCAAGTGGAATAGACGTACGAACCATCCGGTGAGCAACACGGTTCTGCACAAAGCAAGGCTGTAATCATCACAGACCTCTGAAGACAGGAATCCTAAAGTGGGTCAGCAGGATGGACAACGCTCCACCCAGGGCCCTGAGCAGAGGACTGACACCCCTGGGATGTGTGTGCAGGATGCAGGGTGGCCACGGCCATTTATCACATCCCCACACCTAATCCCTTAATGTCCAGGAGCACCTGGGATGATCCCTGAGTTTGTATGAGATGGGTTCTGTCTCTTTTCTTTTAAAGTAGATATAAACAGATGCTCTATACACTATCCCAGGTGCTTGTCTAAGGTTTAGGAACATTTCTACATCCAAATCTGCCAAATTCTTTAAGCTAGCCCATGCGCCTTTCTGAGCATTGCCAGTGATGTTGACAGAAGACTCTTCACACC